ATTTTCAGCCTGAATCTCTGGATGGGGGATGGACAGAGGTGGCCTGTCAGGAATATCTCACTGAGCTGCACCAAATGCTGTGAAAGTGAACCTTGAGGTGCACGTGGGAAACACTCAGTGCACTGTTGTACAGGGCTGTAGGAATTTACTCACATGACCAGACATTTATGTTTTATCACAGCACAATTCCTGGATCACTGCTAAGGTCCAGAGGAGCTTCTCCAAGGAGTGTCAGAGCCACGACAGGGCGATGTGAGATTCAGATTGTTAAAAATAGCTTTCCTAGGCGGAAGGGACCCGGAGATTTTTAAACCTGTCCTCTACCACTGATTTTAATACACATAATAAATAATGCCTTCACTTCCCAGGCTGATCAGCACCTTGGAGTTGAAGGTAAAATGAATCAATGTCTAAGGGATCAGGGGACAGGAGAGGGAGAGATTCATAAATCCTCAGCAGGGTCGTGTTATTCAAGTCTCACTCCCATCCACAGCTGCCTTGGGAAAGGGCTGGAAAGAAAGACTTGGGAGGGCTTCTTGGGGAAAAAGGGGGTTAATATTTACGCTGTACTAATAAAGTCAGCTTTTGCTGTGCTCCTGGAGGGGGTCCCAGCAGAGGGAAGTGCAGGATCTGGTTCCTGAGCTGGCAGCAGCGGGTACAGTGTTGCTTTCCCTGCTTATCCCTCCCTCTGTCTTCCCAACCACAGCTTCTCCCCCTAATTCTCATTTAAAATAAATACATTTACAGTGATCCACGTGGGCTGTGCCTCGGGCCTCCTCTGGAGAGCAGCAGAGCTAACGGAACACACAGGGTGCTGTGCCTCTGGACATGATCCAACTGTGTCTGCCATGGATTTGTGATGGAAATTGGCCTGGCCTGACAGCCCTTGGCTGGTGGCAGGGCTGGATGTGCTGCATCTTCCCTGCTTTTCAAGATCCTTGCCCTGTGTGCAGCTGGCTGGCCACTGAGCAGAGCAGGCATGGAGAGCAGAGGGAATTATTCATGAAGGTAACACAATTTATTTCAGCAGTGTGGGATTTGGAATGAGGTTCACCAAGTGACAGTAAGAAAGGATGTAGTGTCAAGCTGTGCCAGGAGAGGTTCAGGCTCAACATCAGGAGGAATTTCTTCCTGGAAAGGGTGGTCAGGCCTTGGCAGGGGCTGCCCAGGGAGGTGGAGGAGTCCCCCCCCCCAGAGGTGTCCAAGGAAGGACTGGCCGTGGCACTCAGTGCTCTGGTCTAGTGACAAGGTGTGGATGGGGCACAGGGTGGACTCCATGGTCTGGGACAGCCTTTCCAATCTCAGGGATTCTGGGATCCATAAGGAAGTGGCTCATAGCTTATTAGGAATGCAGAAATACTGCCTGCTGGGGAAGGCAGGAGGGAGACCCTGTGCCCAGCAGAGCCCTCCACTGAAGGGGCTCTGAGGTGTTCCCAGGTTGCTTTGGCTGCATGAAGCCTCTGTCCTGGAGCAGCTGGGGCAGTGTCACAGGTCAGCAGTTGATTTATGTGCTTTGGGCACAGGAAGGACTGGACTGTGTCCTCCTGCCACGGCTGCTGCAGCTCTGCTCTCTTCAGCTCCTGTGCAAGGAGCTGTGGTAAATTCCTCACGCCAGCACTGTCAGAAACTTGTTTGTAACTTGTTCCTTAATTGATCCCTTTTGCTCTGTGAGTCCTCTCTGAAGCTGTTTGCAGGGAAAGCCAACCTGAGGTAGAAAAACTGGGCTCATGCTGGGCTGGGGCCCTGCCAGTGCTTGATGCAAAAACCCGAGGCAAGTAAAAGATGTAGTGGAGAGGATGGGCTGTGACATCCTGGGGGTCCTGCCTCATGCTGCCCGGGGCAGAAGGGAGCACAGCTCCTCCAAGGTCTGTCCAAATCTGGAGTTTAGCAGGGACTGGTGGTGTTGGGGATGCCCAGAGCGTGAGGGAGCTGTTTGATGTGCAAACACACCAGAGATATCTGTGTTAAAATGTGTCTGCAAGGGAAAAGCTGCTGTGGAGGGTCCGGGCCACAGTGGGGCCACCAGGGCTTCCAGCCCCTGGGCCCGGGGAGCCACGGCTGGGCTGTGATTCCAGCAAACCTCTGAGCAAGGTCAAACCACACCGAGAGGTGCAGGATGTGGGAGAGGGCCCCATGTTTGCACAGCCCCTTGGCAGGGCAGTGGCTGTCCCTGCTCCTCCGCAGGGACCTGCCGTGCTTTCCCATCCCAAAACCCCTCCCGAGTCCTGCTGGGGCTGCCAGATGGGATTCCCAGCTGCTTTGTGTCACTGCCTGTTCCAGGGGCGGGCAGGAGCCCTCAGCCCGTGCTCAGGGCAGTGTGTGTGCTCGGGGCTGTGTGTTTGTGGGGCAGAGGATGCGGTTTCGTGCCTGCGGGGCTGCTCCATGAGGGGAAGTGAGGTTTTGACAACCCGCGGGGAGATGGTGTTTCCCTCCCGTGCTGGGCTGAGTGATTTCAGTACAGGGTGACACATAACGAAAGTGTCAGCGAGTCCTGATTTCACTGTGCGGGGCTGTGCTGAGGCCAAGCCCTGTGGTGGTGCCTGAGCAGCGTGTGGCTCATTGCTCCATCCCTGTTCAGGAGCCTCCCCACTGCTCCCCCCTCCCTCCTGCAGCCCAGCACGCTGTGTTATTCCAAAATAGATCGCCACTCACCTCTCAGCACCCCCCCGGGGCTCCGGGCAGGGTTAAACACGGGGGACAGAAAGCGACCCTGCTGCTGTGGCACCTCTGTGTCCCCACATGTGGGTGATGAGCTGGTTTCTCTGCCAGGGTGAGTGGGGAGAGCCCACAGAGCCACGTGTGCCCGCGGCCAGGGGTGCAGGCAGAGAGGACGCGGTGCGGGTGTCCCGCCCGCTCCATCCCCGCGTGCTGCCGGCAGCTGCCCGCTCCTCCCGCACGGCTGTGCCGGCCGCGCTGCCCTCGCAGCGAGGCACCCGCTCCTCCCGGCCACGGCCCCGCAGCAAGCCTGGAAAGAGATTTCTTTTCAATCTATACAAGAATTCACAACTGTGAAGGGGAGACAAAAACATTCTTGAGCCGAGGGGACAATATTGAGCGAGGGGGGCGCGGGGGGGCCGCGGGATTACTGTAGCACAGCCCGGGGTCGCCCCGCTTGCACCTGCTGTTTGCTGAAAGGCTGATGCTGAGCAACAAGCAGCTGATGCTGAGGCCCAGTTGTCAGCCTGAATGGAGGGAAAAAGGCTGGAGCGGCGCTCGCCAAAGGGAATGGCAGCGGCCCAGCGCCGGCGGGAGGGGGGAGCTGCCGGGGGAGGGGGGACAGCAGCCGGTTCCCCTCGGCACGTGGAGCTCCAGGCGGACCCGGAGATGTGGGGATCTGTCATTCCGAAGGGATCTAGGAGAAATAGGGTGATCCTGAACCCCTGAAGAACACGAGCTCTCCAGAAGCTCCTCCTCGCTCCAGCCCTGAGCTGCCACAATGAGTGGGGGGGTGATGTCCTCCCCAAACCCGATACTTTGA